GAGACTCCCTGAAGCATCCCGAAACCCTGTTCAACCCTGCACTCCTTTACGGTTTAGGGTTTAGGGTTTAGGTTTAAGGGTTAAGGGTTTAGGGTTTAGGGTTTAGGGAAGCCCTAAACCTTCTGAAATCCCTGAACCTGAAGGCCTAAACCCAACAACCCCTCAACCCCAAATCTAACCCAACAATCCCTCAACGCTCCACCCTAAACCCGTGGAGGGAAGAGGGGCTGGGGTGGGTTGGAGGGGGCTGTCCAGCGTTTCTGGCGATAGGCCCAAAGCCCTATTCCCGAAGCAAACCTTAAACCCTCCAAGGGAGGGTTTCGGGTTAAGGGCCTGAAACCCTATTACATACACCCTGAACCCGAAACCCCAACCCCAAACCCGAAACCCCAAACCCTAGTTTCCCCAACCCTGCCAGACTGCGCCTGGCAAGCCGGAGGAGCGTTGATTGTTTGGAGGGTTTAGGGTTTAGGGTTTAGGGTCTAGGGTTCAGGGTTCAGGGTTAAAGGTTTAGGGTTAGGGTGTAGGGTGTTGGGATTTAGGGATCTTTTCGTCTCATGGGGGCCTTTCGGGCTTCCATGTTTTCAGGCTTTTTGTGTTTCAAAAAGTTGGTTTCGTTCTACCTCTGTTTCTTTTGTCGCCCCCTCCCCCCCTTCCCTCTCCCTTCCTTCTCCCTTCTCCCTTCTCCCTTCTCCCTTCTCCCTTCTCCCTTCTCCCTTCTCCCTTCCCCCTTCTCCCCTCTCCCTCTCCCCCTCCCTCCCTCTCCCTTCTCCCTTCTCCCTTCCAGGAAACGGCGGGCGATATGGAGGCCCAAGGATTTGAGTGAAGGGATGTGCCTTGGGACCTTTCAGGGGATTCTGTCGAGTTTAGACGAACCTCCGACCAAGCCCGGGTCTACCTCGGGGGAAACGAGCTTCTTAGGGGGTACGCTCTTGGGATTGCTTGTAGGGTAGTTACTGGCGTCGTAGTATGGGTCCTTAAAAGGGGACCCCTCATTTTCGCCTTATGTACCCTATGCAACCCAACAGAACCCTGCAAAAAACGAGAGGGACCGTATTAAGGGACCATGTAACTACCCTTAGAATTGCGCGTTCGGATTCTGGAGTCAGGGCCTTAATCCCAAGCCCCAAAACAAGGCACGGAGCCAACTTCTCTGAAACCCGGGCCCCTGAACCCTAAACCCCAAACCCTAAACCCTCTTGGGGTTTAGGGCTTGGGGTTGAAGGTTTAGGGCTTGGTGTTGAGGGTTTTTGTCGTTTTGGGTGAGGAGGCGAAGAGGGAAGGGGGGGGGTTCAGGGGCCTCGAAGGCCCTGAGCCCGTAGTTTTGCCAACATAGCAAAAACAAATCAGAACCTCCTCCCCCAAGCCTACTTTTTGGTAGGCTACCTGGCAATCAGAACAAAACATGCAGGGAGACTTGTAGGCTTGTAGGTAGAGTCTATAGTTGGTAAGAGGTCTGATTAGGGAGGGCAACGGCCCCTCAAACCAATTGGGACTCTACCTTGGACCCAACCTTGGGCTTGGTAGGACCCCTGAGGGTTCTTAAGCGAATATAAGGGCCATATTAGGGTTTAGGGGTTTAGGGTTTAGGGTTTAGGGTTTCGGGTTCAGGGTTATACTAGTTACACCTGAACCTTAAACGGTACAACCCTAGGGGTATGAGTCTTCATCCCTTGAGCCGGAGGTGTAAAGCACCGATGTGGGCACTGCGCCATTCGGCCCATGTAATTCGCCTTGAAGGCAGGGGCCGTGACCCTAAGCCCTACAGACCGTAAAGCCCTAAACTCTCCATAGTACCATAGTAGGATTTCCTTATAACAAGGATGCCAAGGTACCCCGAATTTCGGAAACCCCCATTCGCGGCTCTCCATGGAGTTTGGAGCGGTGGAGTCTGGAGTGTCACGGTTCTGGGTTTTGGGGCGTTTGGCCGCATCCAACACAAAAACCACACACACAACTCACGACACTTCTGGACTTCAGAGGGTTTAGGGTTTGGGGTACAAAGTGTGCTTGTCGAACTCCTACATATACTTCTGGCGAGCCCTCTCAAGCCAAGTCTGCCTCACTTGGTGCCCTCCCTTGTCAGAGTCCTCAGATCCCCCGTTAAAGCCACAAAAACAAGTTAAGGGTTTGGGGTTTAGATTTTAGGGTTTGGTTTGGAGAGTTTGGTGCCGGGCAACCTAACCAAATTCCTACAATTCCTCAACGCCTTCGGCAGGTGGCGGATGCCAATCCAAAGCACTAGGCTGCCAGAGCCTCATGGTGGTTCCCTCTGCCCTAAACCCTTCTACCCCGAAATTGACCCCCCCCCCCCCCCCCGTCCCCAAAGGGGCCCTTAATTATTGCGCCAAATTAAGCTCAGAAAAAGCCCTAAACCCTAAACCCTGAACCCCTTTTCAGGGGGGAGACTCGGGTTCTTTGATCTTTTTGCGGGGGACTTGGGGTGTTGCCGAAAGAGGCCTCTGTTCAGGGCTGTTGAGCCTGGGCAGTGAACATGTTTAGAGTTCAGGGCTTCGAGTTTAGGATTTGCTTAGGGTTTAAGGGGCCATTTCTTCGGACTGTCTGGCCGACTTTCTGCTGAGGAGGGACAAGGCCCAGTTCGGGGACGGCGTGTTGCGGCGCCGTGGCTGCACCTGGCGCAGTTTGCGGCAAGGAGACAGGTAGGCCCTTGGGTATATTCGGGGCAAATGGTCTCTAGCAGACTCTTGCAAGGGGGATGCAATCCAGAGGGGGAAAGGGATTTGCAGGGTTGAGGGGCCCTTCCACAACCACCCGTGTTTTGCTGAAAAGCGAGGAGCCTGAACAAAACGGCCTTGGTTCGGACACGAACTAAGCCCCTGAACTCCTTGAAATCCTGAGGCTTATTCACCCGAGCAACCCAAACAATCAACACAGCCACAGCAGCAATCCCAAATACTGCAACATACATCGGACCCAGTACTACAGCAACACAAGCACCGCTGCAATCGACTAAGCTTTGGCGTGAAGAGAACACAGACACAACCATGAACTTGGATGATCTGAAAGTACTCAATTACACCCATTACGCACAGTAAATAGTACTAGTGATTAAACTCAATCATGAAACCATAATGCGTATATTCATGAAGATTACGCAGCCTGAATATGATTTTCAAAACCCCTACTACGATTGAAATAGTAACAGAGTTTGGCTTTTCAGGCGTTTTGGGCTTCCTGAACCCTGTAGAAGCCCTGGCCTAAGCCTTAGCCAGTTTTCAGAGGGTTAAGGGCCGAGGATTTAGGTCTTTAGGGTTTAGGGTTTTGCCACAACACAAGAATCGACATGTTTTATTTCTCGGCAATGAACTTGGGAGGCGGGAAATCTGCGATATGTTTTGAATTAAGCCCTTTCAGCCCCCCTCAGCCCCCCAAACCCTCAAACCCCCAACCTCTAAGCCCCTAAACCCCTAAGGCCCTATATTCCTAAACCACGAAATCCCTAAACCCAAAGCCCCCAAAGCCTAAAAACTCTGAAGCCTTGGCGGGGTTCCTTTGTTTTAAGGTCCTGGTGCCGCAATGATCGCGCCGACTGAGCCACTCAACGCCGGGGGGGCTGTCTCCCGAGGGGATCGTCAGGGGTTTAGGGTTTAGGGAGGTTTTCTAGGGGGGTCTGAGGATTAAGGGGTGTATTGCGGGGGCCTTTCGGTTTTTTTTTGGGTGTGAGGGTTTGGGGGTTCGGGTTCAAGCTTTGGCAGCTCAGTGGATTGCATGCTGGCGCTGTCGTCGGGTCTAAGATGTAGGCTTACGGGTTCAGGTGGCAAAAATCACCCCCTAGAAGGCGTTACAATCAAGTGCTCACGCTGTACGATGCATGGAAGTGCTTCGCGTTTAGTCTTTGAGAGGCCCCCCCTCCGGCCTGGAGTGGCCCAACTTGGTACCATAATGGCGCGCACCAAGCGGCGAAGCCTGTGCAATTCCGAGTGCAATCGCCGACATAGAGAGGCTTCTAAGTCCCAAGCCCACTTCAAGCCCTGACCCCTCCCTAAACCCGGAACCCGTCCCTCGAAACGTTCGTGCATGCTGGCATGATTTTGCTGCAGCAGGAAAACAAACCCTGTCACCCTCTAAGTTCCAAGGAGAGTTCCGAGTTGCACCTGCCAGTCTGTTACATGTGACTACCTTGATACCGAATATGCTATCGCTTGGTGCAGCGGCCGTTAATTCCGGCTTCCCGCACGAGCGCGCGTGCGGTTGAAGCAGCCGAGATCTGGTGAGAGGAAAAGCTGCGGGTGGGCCGCTGGGGTTTCGGGCGTTTACAGTAGGCTCTTGGCTTATAGGCTGCGACGTTGCCCCTTGTACTAACAGTCCTTGACAGGGATTGTAGTACCCCCTGTTAGAATCCCTATGAAGGACTGTTAGTATAAGGGGGAACATCCCAACTTATAGAGTTCATTGCACCCCCCCCTCAAATCTCTGTACAAAGGAGGCCTGCACTTGACAACTTGAGATGGATTCCGGGCATTGGCGGCTTGACCTAGCTGAACAGGTCAGGGGTACCTTACTTGGGGACTTATCACAAGACAAGCCTGCTATTTGAGGAGATTTATGTTGGGGGTCCCCTATTTTCGTAAACCCCCCCAGCTGGCTCCTTGATTTCACACACACGCACCTCGACTCCAGGAATATGCAGCTTCCCGAAGAGGTCTTGGTGGCCCTTTCGCTCATGTTTTTGGTTCCAGGTTCCCTTCTAAAGTACCCAACCCTTCCCAAAAAAGTCCCCTTTTTAGAATATGGTTGCTGGGCGTCGGTGTTCCACTGAAATTTCCGGAAGCAGCTGGCAGCCACGATGTTGAAGTTGCCATGGGCATTCCGCAGCCGCGGAGGCTCTGAGGATGAGCTGTTGTTGGGCTGTTCTTGGATTCTTATTATGTGCTCAGGTTTAGGGTGTAGGGCTTAGGGTTTAGGGCTTGTGTCATCCCTTCATCCTTGTGGTTTGGGAGCCTTGGGACTCCTGAGAGCAAGAGCCTCCGAGTCACGCCATGGCCTTCAGCAGGCCGGGCGGCAAACGCACCTAAGCCCCCAAACCCCAAACCCAAAACTCCAAAGTTCAGGGCTTGAGGGTTTAGGTGTAGGGTTTAGGGTTGCTTAAGGGTTGGGGGCCGGCACTTGTTGAGCCATCTTGGGATGCAGATGCTCAAAGCAAGCTCAAGTCCAAGAAGGCTCCTGAACCTAAACCCTAAACCCTAAACCCTAAACCCTAAACCCTAAGCCCTAAGCCCTAAACCCTAAACCCTAAACCCTAAACCCTAAACCCTAAACCCTAAGCCCTAAGCCCTAAACCCTAAACCCTAAACCCTAAACCCTAAACCCTAAACCCTAAACCCGAAACCCGAAACCCTAAACCCTATAAACCCTAAACCCTAAACCCCAAAACCCTAAACCCTAAACCCGAAAGCCCCAAACCCGAAACTCTGATCCCTCCTTGCGGCTGTCTCCAGGTTGGCGCCGCTGCTCATCGCCCACTGGATCCCCAGAGGTCAGGGCCAGGTGCTGGGCGAGGAGACCTGTCTCAACATCTGGAAAAAATTATAGGGTTTAGGGCTTGAGGACTTTAGGGTTTAGGGTTGAGGTTTCTTTTTTGAAATAGGGTTTGCTTGGGGGTTTAATTGGGGGCTTAATGGGGTTTAATGGGGTATCATGGGGGTTTAATGAGGGTTGAAGGGGGCTTTAATGGTTTGACAAGGGCTTCATAGGGGTTGATAGGATTTGGGGTGTGTAAGGTTTGGGGGGTTTGGGGGTTTCGGGATCCTAGAAGTTGCCTTTGCCCTAACAACAACACGTGTTCTGGGTCTTGTGTCCGGGCGGTGTCGTGTAGTGCTGGAATCCCCAGTCCTAGAAGGAATTTTCGAGGGCTTAGTGCTTTGGGATCGCGTAGAACTTCCCTCCACCCGACCCCGCCCTACCCCCAACTTCGTTCTTGACAATTTCGCAAGGAGTGCCAGAACTACCTGAAGGCGAAGGGCTTTGCCGACGCAGGCCCACATCGACAGCCCCCAACCAAGCCCATCAACTCAATAAGGCGTGTTTGGAGGGCCACTCACTTCGCAGTGCGCGTCGTGCACGAGCCTGAGGCGTATACGGGATGATGCGCTTTTGTCCTGTGAAGCATGGTGTCCGTTCTACGGACGTTCTCTATCAGAAGGAGCGGTGTGGATGGTCTTGTTCGGCCCCACTGCTTTCCGCGGCGCTTGAGGCAAAACCGCCTGCGCTGAGATCGACCGACGGCGCGCATGGAACGTGTGCAGGCTCCAATGCATATAGCTGCACTTCCTCTGCTCATGGTCAGTGTAGTTTGCCTTCCGCCGGCAGCACGACGTGCGAACTCGGTAGGAGCTGGGCCCGAAGTGCTCGCGCCGCTGTTTACGAAGCCGCACGGAAGCACGTAGACTTTAACAAGTCCCGGGGTCGCGTGCATTGGGACGCGGATCTGTAGAGGCTTGTGAGACTGCATTCGTGGATCTCGCGCAACGCGTCTCGGCTGCCAATGTGTGCGCCCCTGCGTGGCTTTGGGCAGCTAGCTGATGCACATTGGTCGACAACGACTCCGAGCTCCATGTGGCCGGCCAAAAGTTGGCAAAATGTCCTGTTCGCCCTCATCCTCCTGCTGTGCGACATCTGCATGTAAGGATTCGGCGAACTTGACCTGCCTCCAACACCAAACCGTTCTGCTGGAAACTTATGTTTTCTTCGCGTTGTGTGTGCTGACTTAAAGCTCATCAAGCAAACTAACAACGAGGTGGCGGACTGGCGCGACGGCAGCTGTGTGCAAGACCCTGGGTGTTGCGAGGTCAAGCCACAAGTAAATCGCTCGAATGGGGCTAGAGGTGGGTGAAGGAGAGAAGTGTCCCACCGACGCACCGACGTTCGCTTTTCGGTTTAAAGTTTTCCATTTTCTTGGTGCTTGTTTTGTGCCTGCATGCCCACGCTCCCGGGCCTAGCTGGCTCTAGAAGCCCCCCGGGCTCTCAATCAGGCCGTGTAAAAATGGCCCGTGAAATCAGTCAGGGTCCGAAAGCTTTGGCAACGTGGCAGCGCGCATGCAGAGAGGCCAGTGAGCAACGGCTGGCAAGTGCGCGCCACGGCGGGGGCCTCCTGCTGGCCTGCGAGGCAGTTCGTGCGCACAAAGGCCTCCAGACGCTATCGCCCAGGTGCAAATCTCATGCCCACATTGCCAGTGCGGGTTGCAGATGTGTCGCCGAACTGTTTTGCGCAGCGACCCGTGTCAACAACAGCTACAAGTACGCGGCTAAGACTCGAGCGAGTGCCGATCTCCGATGCTTTCCGCAGCTTGCAACATTTCTCGCAGCAAATTTTGCGTCCCAGGTGAGCGCAAGAAGACCAGTACGGAAGACGGCAAAGCAAGAAGTTCTTGGCCATAAGCTGGTCAAAAGAGAGGTGCCGAATTCCGTGGGCTGCGTAGAGGGCGGGATCGCCGAACCAAACCGAAACGTATGCCTGCCATGGAATGCTAAAAGAAGTCCCAAGTGCAACGAGCCCACGTTGCGCAAGGTGCTGTGCGAGAGTACTCAGAATGCCACTCCACACGGACCCAGGTTCGGGGTGCCCCGAAGCCGTCGTGCGAGGCTGGAAGCTTTCTTCCTCGCACCGCACATGCTCCTCCACCGTGAGCCGGGCCAGTCCCGCGTCGAATCGCGCGAGCTCGAGCGCCGTGCCGAAATCTGCGGGGAGTGGCTAAGGCTCGTTCGAGACGCTTCCCAGACGCTTGGATCGTCCACCGGCCCGCGCTCGCCTGCGCCCGCTGTCGCTGATGTCGCGAGGGGGGCCGCGCTCTCACCGCCGAGTCAGTGCAGGGCAACTGCGCGACGGTGAGGCCATCTTTGCGTATCTCGACGACACGTATGTCATCGCCACCCGAAGCGGGTCCACGAGCTGTACGTAGCCTATCAGCGGGCATAATGGACCCACCCGCGCATCGAGCACAACGGTCGCAAAACACGAGTTTGGAACGCTGCGGGTGAGGCGCCACCGGGCATCCCAGTGCTGCAAGGCGAGGCCGACACCACCGTATGGGTCGGCGACTGGACCCCCCTGCCATCCCAACAGCGGCTCACTGTTCTTGGCCGCCTGCTACCTCCTGCGGTCCCTGCCCCCAGCCACGACGGCAGCCTATGCCTCCTCGCATGGCGCAGCACATCGGCTGATGTTGCCATAATAAGCGACTCACACTTCCACGTCAATTGCTCCCGTCGCGACGCGCTCAGATGCGTACGGGAATCCGCGAGCGGCGTGCTCCACATCAGGCCTGCGTGCCTCCCGAGCGCTGCCCCTCGAACGCGCCATCGCCCGCGTTTGCCAGGAAGCGGGGCGCGTGTTGGGCGCAACATCGCGCTGGCCGCGACGAACATCGATGTGCCGGTCCACGATGCGCGGCGCATTGGAGTCGTTTGCAACGGCCGGGCACAACTTGCCGTTGACGCCACCCTCGTGAGCCCGGTGACCCGAAATGGACGCCCGCATGATGGCGCGGATAACTATGCGGGTTTGGCCGTCGGCAACGCAGCGAGACGCAAACGACGGCAGGCGTACCCCGAGCTTGATCGGAACTTGAACCGACGTTGCGCGTCGTCGTTTTCGGGCTCGAGTCGCCTCCTTGCCCGGGCGCTTGCAGCGAGCGAACAAAATGCCCAAGCCGCATGGGTTCTCCGATGGAGCATCTCTGTTGCAGCGCAGCGTGCGCTCGCTGCCACCTCCTCGGAGCTCCCCCGCCAGTCGGAGCTTGGTGCAGCTGGCCCGCTCCTAGCGCTGCACGAGCTCCTTGCAAACGCGCGCTGGCAAGAGGCTCCTCAACCCAGCTGCCTGTTTGCCCGTGTTAGAGCGTGACTTGCCACCGTAGACGGCGGTTGGCACCTTCTCGTGACTTGCAGCTGCAAAAAGGTATAAAAAGGTGCGCGAAAAAATTATCGGAGTCGACGGAACAAAGTCGGGGCATACAAATCTGCCAACCATGCTGTCATCTAAATGAAAGCCGTAGTTGTGCCGAGGAGGCACTTGTGCGTCAGCGAGCAAGTCCACCCGCCTGCGAGGTTTGCGAAGCAAGACATTCGTAAGATGACTCGTCATCATCGTCGTCATCATCATCACATATCATCACCATGTTCATCATCATCATATTCGTCATTATCCCCATCAGCATCATTAGTTGTGTGTCATGCGACATTGGAGAACTGGTGTTTGACGAGGCCACGGAGGAGTCGATGACGCTTCCATCACGGTTGCAGGGATCGCTCGGGCTGCAGTCAGTGCTCGTTTCGTGTGAGTCCGGCAAGGGAGATCTTTTTATCAACGACTTCTATGCGCCGCGCATCACTGGCGGCAGGCCCGATTCATGTCGCGCAGCGCAGGCGGCTACGCGTGCCCCTGCCGCAGCTCGCTCCAGGGGACCTGCTCGTTGGGCCAGCGCCCCCGCACGGTCTCCATACTCATCCAACGCTCCCCCACAGCGGGGACCTGCTGGTGGAGTCTCCGTAGTTGCCGACCCGGACCCCATCGGACCCCAGTGTAGAGGGGGAATAAATAAGGATGCGAAGGTGATTGTTGGAAGCCCCAGAAGAGCCAACGGCAGCTCCACAGCATTCCTTCCGCAGCCAAGGAAGGCAGGCGGGCACGGCTCTTCGGGCTGGCAGTTGGTGGTTTGGGTGTGCGCCGCTGAGGGGTTTTGCAGTGAGGGCACGACCTGCAGCGGACAGCTCGCCGAGGTGTACGACGGTGCAACGCGGTGGGCTCTGGCCTCGACATCGTGGGCGGCAGAGCGAGCGACTGCGAGTTGTGGAGCCTCATGCTGCGGGCAGCAGCAGCATGAAGGAGGTTCGAGGGGTTGCGGGGGGCGGAGGGGCGGGGGCTGCGAGCGCTTTTTACAGGGTCCACAGCACTTACATGTTTTACGATGCGAATATATGATATGCGAATGGCCGGGGGCACGACGTCATTCAGGCGAGGTGACCCGTTAATGCCTGGGCGGTATGCTGTCGGTGCGCACCCCGCCTTGCAGGCGGGGCACTCCCAGTTGCAGCCGGGTGAGGAACTCTTTGCGTTCCTGGATGACACATATGTGGTATCCACGCCCGACCGCACGGTGCCAGCCTTGGACCTGCTGCATGGGCACTTCGCTCAAAACGCATGCGAACGTGGACCTACATTTGGGCAAAACCAGGTGCAGTGATTTGCGAGCCACCCAAGCCGTCCAGGAGCTGCAAAGCTTCGAGCTCCACCTGAGCAACAGCGATCCGGAGTCGCTTCGCCAGGGGCCGATGAGTGATCTGGAGACTCTTCTGGATCGAGCGATACAGCCCGAGCTGAAGCAGTCCAGCGAGCCGGAGCTGTCACAGCCGGCCTCGAAACCGCAGCCGGCCGCAACCGGCTTCGTCCTTGAAGTGGGAGCTTTCGGAAGGGGCTCCTCTGCTCCTGCAGTGCCCGCAGTCCGCAAGGGCATCCTGAAGGCCGCATCGTCTCTTGCAAGTTTGGATCAGTTCATGACGCGTGTGAAGGCTATGAATAATACCAAGGCTGCAAAGCCCGAGGCGGCGAAGGTTGCAGAGCCCAGCGAGCCGGAGGTTGCACAGTGCGGCGAGCCGGTTGCAGAGCCCAGCGAAGCGGCAGAGCGGGAGGTTGCAGAGCCCACGGCGGAGGTTGCGCAGTGCAGCGAACCGGTTGCAGAGCCCAGCAAGCCGGCGGTTGCGCGGTGCAGCGAGCCCGTTGCAGAGCCCAGCAAGGCGGCGGCGGAGGTTGCGCGGTGCAGCGAGCCGGAGGTTGCGCTGTGCAGCGAGCCGGTGGTAAAGGCGTCAGCCGAGGAGGAGCCGGAGCCCTTTGTGAACGGAGAGCTGGGCGAGCCGCTCAAGGAGTTCAGGGACTATGTGGTGGCGAGGCAAGACTTTGAGCACTTCGGCCCGGACTGCCCGCAGGAGGCCGTCAAACGCTTCCGAGATTGCCTCTATAGCGACGAGAAGGACAGATCGAACTCCAATCCCTCCTGGCTCGTGCTTGAGTTCCCCGCTCAGACTCCGGTCGCGCCGTTGCCGGAGTGGAACGGCGCGATGGCCTTCGCTCTGCGCGAAGGCGATCCCACGAACT